GGCCTAGCGCGTTTGTGAGCTGGCCCTCGGTCACACTGGGGGCCTCGAGGGGCAGGCTCAGGGTCCTTCAATTCGATTAGGAGGGATCGCCCTGGCCGCCGCAGGTGGTTCAAGAACGCGCTCAGGAGCCCTGTCCTGACATAGTGGAACCTCCGGGAATTTACAGCCCGACCGGAAGGTTGTGAATTCTTCTGTCTAGGGGCAGCCCTGTCTGATTCTAACGAGAAGAGCCGCCGGCACAGGGAACGCCCGGCTGGATCCTGGCCCTCAAGGTCTTACGTTAAGAGACCAACTTCGTAGGTGCTTCTGCGAGATTTCTTCTGCCTGATTTCAGGGTCGCATATGCAATACGGGCACGGTGAAATTGGCAGTGAGGCTGAGAGTCCAGCTTGTCACTGTTCAACCAAACCTCAGAGATTTGACCTTTGTTTTGGTCCCCCCCGCCCCTCCCCGGGCTACTACTCAGGGAGACTAGACCACGAACCCAGATGAGGATGAAGGCGGGCAACCCAAGCCCTGGAGTAGCCAAACAAGCCGCTCTCTGGGAGAATATTGGATTGTTAAAAGGGACTCTATAGACCACGAGTATTTGATTTTGGACGTGGATCTCCCTTTGTAGATACAGGAACTGGGCCTAGAGAGGTGGTTCGGCTTTGAAAAGACTCCTAGGGAAATTGTGACCTCCCCTTATCCCATCATCCAAACAGCAGGACGAGTAGAGGATACAAAAATTCTAATTCCAGCCTAACATAACCGAAACAGGATTTTGATGATGAAACATAGTAAAACAGGTAGTAAGTGTAGTACATGAGGATGTAATTGTAGACCCAGATACAGAGCTTCTTAGCAAGGGTAAACAAAATTTAAAAATGATCTTGTTTTATCAGTATCAATATATAAATTATGACAAGCCAGTATGAGTTTTACTATGATTTTAAAATAGAGTATTCTAAAATGCCACTTGCATTCATGTACTTTTCTTTTTTTGGAGAGGTTTTTGCTTTAGGGCATGTGTGCTCGCCAGAAAGACAGAGACAGAGAGACACAGAAAGTGAGAAATCACACCCCTGGGGGGATGGCCACGCTGCAATCCCTTCTCCATTCTCCTCTTGGGATCTTGGGCACGCTCGCACACATGCCTGGCATGAGTTTAAGCCACTGGGTCCGAGACTCAAACCACAGTCGACTACATGGGAGACATGGCTATGTCATTACGCTAACTGCTGGTCCCCATATCTGTATTTTTGTATACAAGAATAAATATGAAGTGCTACGTTTTACTATTCATCTTAATGGCTGAGTATGACTAAGAGGGGAAACTATTGTTAACTGTGTAAACTCAGAAAAACCTTGTTTTTAAGCTATTATACAACATAAAATACTATGATGTATGAACATCCATGTAATAGTAAGTAGTAAATATTGGGTTATAGGAAAAGTCATGACGCATTTTTGTTTTTCTATGCAAAAATCATGACTTTTCTGACAACCTAATAATGAGTAAGCCAAAGCTCAGATAAAATCCAACTTTTAGCTATTATATAATTAATTATTTGTGAGTTGGCTGGAATAAATTAAAGAGCCAGGCTAGTTAAAAACTTCCTCCTGGTAGTTATGTGTATAACACTGAATTTAATATTAATTGAAAGAATACAACCCAGAAAGGAAAAATGGCATACATGTGACTTAGGTAAAAATGATTTACTTATTATTTTATGCAAAGATTTACGATTTTTTGTTCTTTCCCTTCCATTATCCTACTGGTATATATTTAGTAAATATAAGCAAAAATATAATCAGGAAGGCATATTTTTAAGATATTGTAGCATATTCCAAAAGTCAACAAATGACTTTCTAATTACTGGTTTGGGATTATACTTGCTCATATAATTTAGTTTGTGACATAATTACATAATTCTGTAACATCCCAAGTATTTAGTAGTCTTTGAGAGGAGATTTGTTAAAAAAAAATTACCATATATATGTAGGTATATATATATATATATAAAACTGTAAACTTTGATCCATTTTTATGGTACTGTTAAAACCTTTTTCCCTGTTAAATTACAGCACAGGGAACAGCAGATGGTGTAATGGTTATGTTGCTGGAGTCCCGTGTAGTCTATCATGGTTTGAGTCCCACCTGGTGGCTTAAAACTCACGCCAGGTGTGTGAGGGATGTGTGTGTGCCCAAAATCCCGAGAGGAGAAGTGATTGCAGTATGGCCATCCTCCCTTGGGGGTGGGGGGAGGGAGTGATTTCTCACTGTCTCTTTGGTAAACACATGTGCCCTACACCAAAAATCTCTGAAAAAAAAATTGCAGCATATCTAGTTTACACCCTTGCCAGAGACCTGCTCCAGCTGGAGTGGGTTGATGCTTGTACACAGAAAGGCGAGACAGGCGAGAAGGAATCAGACTGAGATCTCAATGTTCTTTAGCATGTTCTCAGCGGACTACAGTCAGAGCAAGCTCAAGACTGCAGCCTCAGTGACTATCAAACATACATATTTATTGGGAACCAGCAGTTAGCGTAATGGCTATGTCGCTGGACTCCCACGTAGTCGACCGCGGTTCGTGTCCCGGACCCGGTGGCTTAAAACTCACGCCGGGCGCGTGTGCGTGCGTGCCCAAGATCCCAAGAAGAGAACGGAGGAGAAGGGATTGCGGCGTGACCATCCCCCCTGGGGGGTGATTTCTCGCTTTCTGTCTCTCTGTCTCTCTCTGTCTGGCGAGCGC